TTATGAAAAAACAAGAGTTGGTGGGGGGAATCTGATTGAGGTGTTTAAGATTGTAAAGGGAATTGATAGTGTTGATATGTCATCTATTTTCACATTTAACAGTGAGAATAGTAGGACCAGTGGACACAAATATAAATTTTGGCAAGGTAGGAGTAATCTTCAGCTAAGACAGTTTCATTTTTCTAACAGGGTGGTTGGCCTTTGAATGTTGTAGAGGCAGTAAATTTAAGTGAGTTTAAGAAAAAGCTTCATAAGCATATGAATAAGGACTGGCTTTAAGATTTTTTAAAAATTAATTTAGTTCAGAGGATGGAACAGCCGAGATGGACCAATAGGTCCCATGTTGTCTCAAAACATTATGTTATGTTATAATAATCATACACTCAGGTCATAAATATGTATTCTGATTGGGGCCTTGGAATGTCTAAGACAGGGATATCCCTTGTCCTTAATGGCATTGGGAAACAAAGTAATATGGGTCAATTTGAGGTTCCAGGGCCATTCAGAAAGTGAAATGCAACAAGGTATGCAAATTGCATTTTCTTGTAACAGGTGAGAAACCAAAAACACAAAAGTCATCCATGTGTCCCAGGCAAACATACACAATATAAAAAGGAGAAACTTCATCTGCAAAAGCTATATAAATCATATGTACACAAGTTGCTTCCATGATATATCTGTTCAACCACTGCATATCTCAAGCAGCTAGAGAATGAAACAGGTCTTCATATTTTCCCTAGAAAAACATATCAGCCAAATCAGGAGATGCAGCAGCTATAGATTTCTGTGCAATTGGACTGTTGTGTTGAAAGGTGCTGGGACACTTGTCCTTGTACAACAGATGGATTATAAAAATTGTCAAAGAGGAGTGGTGTGATTTAGACATGACAGCATTATTATGGAGCCTTTTGCTATGGAAACTATACTGCAGATAAAATACCCCCTAAGGTGTGCATATGCCCAGTCACGCAGCAAACTGGAAGGTACTGTGCATCAAAAACAACAGGCCTCTCACAAATTAGTTATTTAGAAATAGTTCTGTGTGGGAGACATAGGCCTACAATTTCTACAATACCATGTCCAAACAAAGCAAGAGTACAGGTGCCACCAGCTGCTTAAAAATAGCTGCTTACTATTCAGTTTTTAAAGAGGAATGGTTTTTGAAAATTATGGGAACTAAAACTGGTTACAGACAAAAAAGTAGTGTTTAGAGAAGTATGTAGTCTACCCAATACAAAGAATAATTACAGGGAACACTGTCAGCAGGACTATTCTAAAATACATAGTTATCCAATAGAATGTGACTTGATGTGGCAACACGGACTGTAGTAAAATAGTAAGACTCCAAAATTGTTCTAATATAACATAACCTCTGTAGAGTGAAGAAGAGTACAGCTTTATATATCCTGAAGCCTTTTGATTATGAAGGAAAATACTAAATGTGTTCACAAATATTTGACCCTTAGAATTATGTGTGTATCACATTTCACCAAGCATTTTCTACCTATTCCCACTTCATTTCAGACAAAAGCCCTCGTTATGGAACCTGAAACAATGTCTAAAGATCTTACAAAAAAATATGGGTCACATACACGAATATTTGCTTTAAAAATTTTCAGCTATAAAAGAAAAGGTTAGATATTTGCAACAGTTTACACTATGGTATAAGAGAACTTGAAATGATTTGACTCAACAGTTTAAAACTAACTTCTGATCAGAGCATGTTATGTAGTTAGAGCCAAACTTAAAAATCCTAAGGTCTATTAACTCACTCACTTTTCACAGTCATCATAGTACCTGGATGAAACTGTTAAACTTTTACATAAACTACTGCTATACATTTTTTAATATTTTTTATCAACTGATTATCATTATGTACACAGGAGGATGGGGTCAAATTGTGCATGCCATGACATTTTACACACTGCCATACAACATGGTATTATGTATTTGATGTCAGAATTATCAACTATTCATTTTGCCCTACACTGATTATTTAGTGAAACCTTGCAGTACAGGATAGTAAGTACCAGATATGAACTTCAGAGGTTCTAGAGATATGCAAATGCAATATGTAAACTGTACAAGGAACAAAAGTATTTCCATGCTTTACAAGAACATCACCTTGTACTCCAACTTGTAAAAATCTGAAGACTAATGTCATCAATTCACAGTCGTATCTTGAGTACAAATACTTTTGCAACACATTCAATTTTGCATGTTCAATAGACTTGTACATTTTACTAAAAGCTTGGCAAATTTTGTGCAGATATACATAGTAAATTAAAAATTATAGTCAACATTCGTTCTCCAACATGGGGTCAGTCCACCAATTCCATGTACATTCGGTTAATGGCAGCCTGAATTTTTTTTAGGTAACATACACCAACTTTTTTACATATAAAATGTATGAATGTAACACATTGTGGAAACCACAAACTGAAACAGAGGAAATAAATTACAGATGAGGGTATGATATCCAAACATGTATGAAAATTTGAAATAAATTTTCTCTAGCTGTTTGTGTGGTAAGTACTGAAATATTATTATACATTCTCACCCAAACTCAGTAAAATTGTCAAATGGTAATTTTCCTAATTTGTTAGCATATGAGGTATAGAATAACAGTACTTTAATTCTTAATTATAATACCCATACCTATAAACGTATTTCATACATCACATGAAAATAAGCTACTTACCTCAGTGTACTTATCTTCATGAAGTATATTCTTTACAGTGTTATTATTTATTAAATTCAAATATTTTGGATTCTTATTCTTCAAGTTCAACGACGGCACTAGTTCTTGACTTTCAATATTTTTAAGGATATCACACAATCTTCCTTCCAGCGATGAAGGTTTAATGTTTTGTGCAAGTGACAAACTAACTTCAGCGGTTATACTGTCTTCAAGGTTTTCACAAAGAACATGAGGTTGTTCTACTCCTAATAGAGACGGTTGTTCATCATTCTGTGCATCTTCACTCGACAAGCTTCGATTTTCTGCCAAAGGTGAACTTCTTAAGCCTAAATTTACACCAACTTGACCAAATTCTTGTTCATCTTTCATTGGAACTGGTGAAACTTCTTCCATATTTCGAAACTTCAAATTATTTAAAAATGTATAGTTTAATGTATAAATGAAATATCGGTTTAAATTATTTAACATAACTTACTACGCAATAAAATTAGTCTTGTAAATTCCGAGCTTAACGTTTCTTTACATCTTCGATCAAAACGCCATCATAAATCAATGCCATCTGTGGAGGATTTTATTATGTATGAAATGTTTTATTTTATTTGCAATATCACAGATATAATAATTTACGCATTGAATTAATATCTAAATATCGTCGTTATTAATCGAGCCTAGTTAAACTGGACCTTTGTTACAACTGACATGCCTGAAAAGTAAGTGCTTAGGCCTTTTTTTTCTCTTATTTCATTAATAAGAGCATAATTATTAAATTAATAAAATTTGCTAATAAATTATTGGATGTAATGTATCCTAACTGTAATGAGAATGATTTGGATCAATTGGTATATTGGACAAATACTTATAAAGTGACCTTTAATTATAGTACTTGCAAGGTAATGCATTGGGTTATCATAGATAGATCACAGGTTTAATATAGGTAGGAACCCATTCAGTAGTGTGACTGAAAAAAGGATTTTAGAATAGTGGTAAATAAGTCAAGCAAGCCATAGCGGTAGTGCACAGTTGCTACCATAAAAGCTGATAAAATTTGAGATGTAGTTATAGACACACGCTGATTAAAAATAAAAAGAGGTAACTTTCTCTTTGTAAATATAAAAAAGGATACTGACTTACTGAAAAGGGTTCAGAGGAGGGTCACTAGGATGATGCTGGAGATGGTTTGTTTTGAATTTCGCGCAAAGTTACACGAAGGCTATCTACGCTAGCCGTTCCTAATTTAGCAGTGTAATAATAGAGAGAAGGCAGCTAGTCATCACTATCCATCGCCAACTCTTGGACTACTCTTTCACCAACGAATAGTGGGATTGAGCGTCACATTATGTTCCCACGGTTGAAAGGGCGAGCATGTTTGGTAGGACAGGTAGTTGAACCCGCAACCCTCAGATTGCGAGTCCAGCGCCCTAACCACCTGGCCATGTGCCTTATAGGAATATATTAGCATCTCTTAACTTATTAAATAAATAAATAAGGTGATCTTATCAAGAGTTAAATTATAAAAAGTAAGATAGTTA